GCCCGAGCCATCCTCCGCCCCCGCGCCAGTAGCAGCAGCAGCAGCCGCCTCGGGCGCACCCTCCGCGGGCAGCTCGGCGCCCCCCCCCTCGCCGCCGAGCCCTGCTCCAGGCGACTCATGAGTAGGGGGCGCCTCCGCAGCCAGCGCCCCAGCGGCAGCGCCGGGCGCGGCGGCGGGCGCATCGGCCAAGGGCGCTGGGCGGGACAGAGTGTCCGCCCAGCTGTCGTCCTCGAGGCCGTCGTCGCCGCCGCCGTCCGCCGTGCCGCCGCCGTCGCAGCCGAGGTCGGGCAGGGCGGGCTCCACCTGCATGCCAGCGCCGCGGCGCTTGCGAGCCCGCCGCCGACGCCGCCGAGGCCGATGATGGCCTTCAGGCGGCGCGGTGCCAGCGGGAGCAGCAGGTGGCCCGTCCGCTCGTCCCTCGGCACGGGCAGGTCGAGGCCGCGCCTCGGCCTCGAGCACCGCCGTCGCGGTGCGGCAAAGCCCCTCAGCGGCGCGCACCAGCCGAACGGCCGCCGAGCCGCGCGTGAGGCCCGCCGCAGCGCGCACCGCCAGCGAGGCCCCGCGGGCCGCGGCGAGAGCAGCGCGAACGTCAAGCGCCGCCGACATCGGAGGCCCGCGGCGAGCCGCCCGACGGCGGACCTGCGGCGGCGGGCTCGACGCGGGATCGGCTCCTCCTCCTCCTCCTCCTCCTCCTCCTCCTCCTCCTCCTCCTTCTCCTTTTCTTCCTCCTCCCCCTCCCCCTCCCCCTCCCCTCCTCCTCTCTCTCTCCTCCCCCTCCCCCGTCCCCGTCCCCTCCCCCCCCCCCCCCCCCCTCCTCCCCCATCCCCCTCCTCCTCCTCCTACTCCTCCTTCTCCTCCTCCTCCTCCTCCTCCTCCTCCTGAGGGTTCTTTCCTTTAGGGCCGAGGCTCCAAAAGGTCAAAGCCCACCAAGATATACAAGCCCTACCTGTAGGTAGCGATGTCCGCCGCTTGGCGGAAGGTAATGATGCTGCGGACCGTTTGGCGAAGGCCGCAGCGCACAAGGGCGTTCAGCTCAGCGAAGATGAGAAGGGCAATTTCGCTGAAGATAGGAAGTTCGTAAGTAAGTATCTCAAGTATGTTTCTCAGGCTCTGGGAGAGTGGCCCGCGATTGCCCCCAGAAAGAACAAAGCCCTGGCCGCCCCAGAGAAGAGTTTTTCTCCCCCCACGGGTGCTGCCTCTGCCCTGACGTCGTGGTCGCCGTCGTCGTCGGTCGAGCCTCATCCTCCTCCTCCTCCGCCTGTGCCTCACGAGGTCCCTCGTCAGCCCAGAGTGCCTTGGAGGTTTCACACGTGGGCGCTGATTTCGCAGTATTACCGGCGCATTCTGTGTAGGGTGCAGACGAAGTCACTCAAACAGAGAGCAGTTCTTGCGGCCACGGAATGTCCTGGCCACTGCAAGCAGCTGTCAGACCTCGTGCATGATAATAAAGGCCATGCTTTGTTTTATTAGGATCACCTTGATCATCCCACGAGTATTCTGGTTTGCCACAAGTGTGGATCCTACTCTGAGGGGTTGGGCCGAAGGCTCACTGGAGGCTGCGGCACTCGAGTGAGCCACCAAGGCGCGTCTACTCAACTTGCCCGTATCCAGGAGGGTCGTGATCCCAAGGGCTCAAAGTCGTCCCCGATCATCTATAAGACCCCCGCTATCTCCCTGGCCAGATTGGTTCGCGAAGAGCAAGCCAAGGTCAGAGGAGAGGAGGCACCAAGTCCTCCATAGTCGGCCGTGTTCTCTCACGGCGGACATCGAACACCCCATCAGCTGTGTGCGCGTCCTCCTCCCCCTCCTCCTCCTCCTCCCGGACTGGCGCCAGCGCAGACCCGGGAAGCCTGCGCGGGCCTCCGAGAGTTCATGCTGCGTTTTTCGGGGGATGGCCTTGGCTTTTCCAGGTGGAGGTCGCCCTCCAGTGATGTGTGATTCGGCCGGGGAAGGTAAGTGCAAGTTGGGGTCCGCCCGAGCGCCGACTCTTGCAGGATCCTGCAGAGTCGGGGGACTTGGGGATGGGGTCGTTGCAAACGGAGGTCAGTCAGAGGGCCTGATCTTGCAGGATTCTGCAGAGGTGGGGTTATTTTAGCCCGGTCTGGGTGCAAAATCTTGCAGGATCTTGCAAAGAATGACTGACCCGGTTTTGGATTAACCCGTGCCAGTTAGACCCCCAACAGAGCCAAGGCTGCATTGACCCAGGTTTGCGTGCAGGATCCCTGCAGGATGCTGCAGGATTTTGCAAAGCCCGATTGGCCTGGGTTTGGATTGACCCGGGTCAGTAGAACTCCGAAAAAGCTTGCGCAGATTTGCGAACATTTATGTTTTTGTTTCAGTTGTTGTTTCCCCTTCCGTTCTCGACTTTGCCATTCGGTCGTGGTCGAAAGCAGGTCGAATATGGCACAATCCAGATCCGTCCTGCTGAATGCTGCTCAACAGTCCGACCAAACCTGGTTTATTCCTGAATTTAATCCAAGTGAGTGGCCTAAGTCGGGCTTCGCATTCCTTAAGCATTATGTTGATATTGATTTGTTTTTCCTCATGCGTGTCAGCGGTTGCTCATTGGGCAGCCATCCCCCCACCTCTGGGTAATGGTAACCATCGTATGTTGGGATGGGGGGGGGGGCACTCCGCAAACTGGTGCTCGCGCGCACGCTATGGCGATCGCAGAACACTCCCGCCCAGACGTGCCCCACCCCGCCCAAGCCTTACTGGTACCGGGGGCCCCAGCCCCCCCCCCCAAGGGCAACGAACGTGATGCAGAAGACAACAACAAACAATCTCCAGGGCAACGGTGGCCCTCCCTGGCGTGTTCGTCCTCCTGGTGCCTCCTGCCCCGAGAATTGATCAAACGAGACCGGACGAACATGACATGGCTTTGCCTCTGGATTCGGGCCTCCCCAGAGCTACCGAAGAGCAGCGGTCAGGCACCCATGCACAAGAAGACGACCCACACACAATCTTCCTGGGCCTCCTGCAGGCTCGTCGTGGCCAGGGCTGCATGCGCCCTGGCGCACGGGCCGGGTAGGATCGGGGAGGGGTCTGGGCTCCTCCCTCCCGGTAACGGCTGCTGCCGCGAAGAAGAGGCAGCAGCAACCGCAATACCTGGCGAAGGCCTTACGGCCGCCGACCCTGAAGGGGGACGACGGCGACGACGACGACGACGACGGCGCTGACGTGGGTCAGAGTCCTCAGGGAGTCTGTTTGGGGTCTCTTGAGCGCTCTCGGAGGCCTCTGGGGGGCAGTTTTGGGGTCCCCCTGGGAGCATCTTGGAGACCTCTTAAACCTTTGGAGCCTCTTGGGAGCTTCTCGGGGCTTCCTGGAGGTCTCTTGGGGGGCCTCTTGGAGCCTCCTGGGGGCCTCGTGGGGGCCTCCTGGGAGCCTCTCGGGGCCGAGGGCTCGAAATGTCCGTTTGAATCCCCTGTCTGGGCACCCTTCTGGAGCCTTCTTGGGTGCCTCTTGGGCTGCTTTGCAGGCGTCTTGGGCCGTCTTCGGGTCCTCTTTGGGCCGTTTCGGGACCCTTCTGGAGGCCTCTCGAGGCGATCGTTGGAGCCTCTTAGGCCGTTTTGGAGCGTCGGGAATATGAGACGTCGAGAACGCCCAAATCCCTGAACAACTTTAGGGAAATCAGTGAATTTTGCCTGTTGGGGCTTTCTTTGGGAGTGCTCTTCGAGGCCTCTTGGGGTGTCTTCTAGCCCTCTTGGGCCGTCTGGAGGCCGTAAAGAGGTCTTGAACCGATTGTTCGGCGATTCGGGGTCCTCTTGGACCGTCTTTGGGACCTGTTGGGGCACTGTTGGCTCGCTTTGGAACTTTTTTGGGCCCCGCCCCCACCGCAAAGAGGGAGGTGGTATTCTGACCCAGGACCCCCCGGGGACCCCTTCCCCGGGACCACCCCTCGGGAGCCCCCGGAAGGGATCAAAGGGAAGGGGCTTCCCTTCGACTCAGTTACGACGTTGCTCAATTTCGTTTTGGTTGGCGCGCCTGAGGAGGAGGGCCCAAGAAAAGGGGAGAGCGGCGATGGGCCCAGGAAAAGAGAGGGAGCGGCGACGACGACGACAACGACGAAGTCGAGTCAAACGGAACAGCCTCTTCCACACGCCGAGCCGCGAATAAGAAATAACAGCAAACTCGATATTTAGGGAGGCCTCCCAGGAGTGGCCTCCTGACACACGGCGGCGGCCACCGCCCGCGGCGCTGGCAAGGTTTATATCCACACACACCCCTGCGCCTAGGACTTCCCAGGAAGGGGCGCCCAAAGGCCGAGGCGCAGTGGATATGGACAAACATCTGGCCTACGGGGGCTCGGTTTTTTGTCCATAGCCACTCCGCCTCACTGCGCCTCCGTTTTCTGCGAAGGGGGCCCGGAATTCCAAGAGGTGGACACAAATCATGGCCGTACGTGAGGTCGTCTTCGCCGACATTGGCGCGTAAGTTGCCCGCGTAAGGTCGCGCGCACGCCCTCGTCTTCAATGCAGCGCGCCGCGCTGGCGACCCGCGTAAGCTGCGGCGCAAGGTCGCCGTGCCGTCTCGCATGAGACCCGTTTCTGATCGTCGCTCGAGTCCCGGCCTCAGGTGGGGCCTTGCCTTTGAGGACAGAAGGAGTTGTCATCTCCTCCGCGGCGGAAGGCCGCCTCCGCTGGCGGCAGCTGGGCGGAAGGCCGGCCGACGACGGCGGCCGTAAGAGCTGCGCTCCCCAGAGCTGAACACGCTTTTGGGTTCGGGCTTCCCGAATCCGCCACGTGGTGCCCACGACTCAGTCTCGTTTAATCAATCCCCATCCCCATTCCCACCCCCTTCGAGACACCCACCACATGACCACCCAGTTGGGGATACACCCCTTGAAACCCAAAGGGAACGGCCTATATCCCCATCTAGGGGGGTGCATCGGCAGTGGGGCCCAGGCCACGCCGCTGGGGATGTGGATTGGTTAAACGATACTCAACGACCACGGTGGGCGAGCGAGCGAGCGGGTGACGGACACGCCGCACCTCGCCCAGGGCGTCCCGTCGGCCGCGGCGGTGGTGGGCAGGAGGCAGCCGCCGGCGCAGGCGCCGCCCCGCCTCCGAGCGGGGGGGCGGCAGGGCGTCGGCGTCGTCGGCGCAGTCGTTGTCCTCGTCGTCCTCGTCGGGCGTTCCTCCTCCTCATCATCATCAGCATCAGCATCAGCATCAGCATCATTATCATCATCATCATCATCATCATCATCATGATGATGATCATCATCATCAGCATCAGCATCAGCGTCATCGTCATCATCATTATCATCATCATCAACATCATCATCAGCATCATCATCATCAGCATCATCATCGCCCCCTCGTCCTTCTTCTTCTTCTCCTCCTCCTTCTCCTCCTCCCGTCGCTCGTCGTCAGCGTCGATCCTGAGCCCCATGGCGTCGCAAGTGTTGCGCAGCGAGCGGTTACGCCTTGCTTTGGGCAGCGGGGCCCTCAGGGATCGATCTGGCTCGGAGAAAGTTGAAGACAGACGGGGTCCAGGGTTTCTGTCGAGTTTGTCATATACAGTGTTGCATTTGATTTATCGATGTCCGATCTCAGGGGATCGATGGTTTTGCCTCGTCGTCGTCTTGATCGTTGGTGTCGTAGTCACATTCCCGCGCACGCGGGAGAGCTCGCAAAAAGCTGGAATGCGCAGAATGGCGACAACAGAAGTCGCAAGGCACCAATCGAATCGGTTCGAGGAGGGCGAGGGGGGAGGAGGGATGTGGGAGGAGAAGGGGGCAGTGGAGAAGGAGGTAGGAGAATGAGGATGCACGGAACCGACCGGGTGTCCACGCAAGCAGGGACAAACCTTGACAGTTGGGCGAGTGCCGAAATCGATTAGGCACGGAAGTGGAGGGAGGACGAGGAGGAGAGGGGAGGAGGAGGCTCCTCTTTCCTCCCCTTCTCTTCCTGTCTCTGATCCTTCGCAGCGAGGATTTGTGGCGATTCATGTACGCCTCGTGGCTCCGACCAGCCGAGTTGGAGTATGAACGAGGAGGAGGAGGAGGCGGAGAAGGAACGGGTGCCTCGGGGTTTTGAAGGTCCTCTTTGGGTTTCGTGGCCTCAGACCCCCCAACGAGCTGTATTTGGGGCCCTTGCTTGGACCTCTTTTCAAACCGAAGGCCCTACCCAGTGTTATTCAGACTGTGCAAACGGGACCTGCTGACGGTATCAGCGCGAAGCGACAATATGCAGGTCAGATCACCCAAGCGAGACATTATTGTGGGCCCAACCTTGGCGCGTGAAAGATTCGTGCGCCAAGAGAACTTCTATGCTGATGTTTCTGCCACAGAAGGGGCTGGATAGTACCTTGATGTGTCTCCTGACGAGCACGAAGCTTTGAATCATCATATCAAACTCTCGCGGGCGGTCTTGCTTGCGGGTGCAGAGCTTTTGTCACTTTGGCCGAAACTAGAGTTCAGAGACATGCAGCGTTTCCCGCTGCTATCAGTCCTTGCGGCTCCTGTTTCAGAGCTCGTCCACGACTTGTCCCAACAAGGCTCGTGCTGGCGTTGTCGCGTGTGCCTCCGAGTGTCGAGGGCGTTGTCCAAGCATTTTGGAGGACAGTGCCCTGGGCAGTCTCGTTTGGACCAGGGACAGTTGGAGAGACTGGGCCACTGTGTCATTGCCTTCCCTCGCAGTGACGGTGGCCACCTGTTCTTGTGCATGATGTCGTGCAAGTTCTATAGCAGTGGTGGTCAAGTCCTGGTCCTAGGCCGCAAATGCGGTCCTCCGGCGGTGACGAGTGTGAAGAACATGCGCCGTCTCCGCAAAGGCCAGCACCCTGGTAAGAAGGGTGTGCCTGTTGACATTGATAATTTCATCACACTGTTATAGTTTACAAGTAATTTCTACCTGCCCATCCATTGCGCTTCTGGCTGACGCAGACAGGCCACGTACATTTCAGGGGCATGTGCGTTGCTGACACCAAAAAAAGAGTCGGAGGAGGAGGATGACGAGGAGGAGTTGGAGGAGGAGGAGGAGGAGGAAGAGGAGGAGGAGGAGGAGGAAAGGGATGACAGCCACCCCTTCCTGGGTTGGACTTACGCGGTGTGGCCTCCACGGAACTTCCGCCTGAGTCTTTGGCCGAGGAAGGGGGGGGGCGCCAGTTTGCCAGCGTCTTGCAAACATCGGGGCGGGGTCTTCGCTATACCTCCGACCCCCCGGGGGGATGGTTTCCGGCCCCACGATCGTCCAGAATGGGCTCGGGATGGGAAACAGCGGAATCTCGACAAAATGAGCAGGCGGCGCGCTTGGGGATTAGTCGGGGGACCAGGGCGACTATTGGTCCTTCCTCTTCTTCCGCCTCGTTTTCGTTGTCCCTTGGGGGACTTCAGACATCCAACATGGACCAACAATGCCCAGTAATGTGGAATCTGGATATTTCTCCTGTTCCGCCTTCGCTTCCTCCACCCCTCCAACTCACTCTTACCCCCCAGGGGTAACCTCTCACAGCTCAAATGACTGAGTGTACGTATGGGTTTCTGGTGAGGGGCCTGGGACGGAAAAGGGCGCGTTGCAACATCATTGGTGCATCAACGACGTTGCAAGATACACCCCTTTTCCCGCACCCCCGCCTCAAAAGTCACCATAAGCCTGCACGTTCGATAAACTTAGCGTCCCTTCGAAAGACGAGGTGCCATTCGGGCGATTGCCCCGTTGCGAGAAGAACCCGGTAGCTGGCTTCGAGCAAGTATTGTCAAGCGAGAGTCACATTTTGAGCAGGAGCCACACCTCAGCATGTGCATATGTTTCGCAGTTTTATGTTCTCGTTTGTTAGATGTGCGGATGTCTCGGGCGAAAGTCCCATGGTGAAGAGGAAACGCCATCCATGCTTATAGTCGTTGCAACTTGTTGTGGCGCATCTTGTGGGCGAGGCAGCGAGGACGCAATTTCCAACAGAAATGGCCCTCCACTGCGGTAGCGGTTGCAAATTCTTGGACGATCCTTCTTGAAGAGGGCCCGCCGAGGTCAGCGGAGGAGGGGCAGGAGGGGTGAGGAGGGGGGAGGCGAGACAAGGAGGAGGAGGAGGAGGCAGGGAGGGAGGCGAAACATTGAGGAGGCAGGGAGACGTGAGCCCGCGACCTCCTACTAAGGCGTTGTGGGGGGATTTTGAGAGACCTCCCGAAGGCTACCCGCACGGGGGCGACGAGACTCGCGCTTCGCGCGTCGTGGCCGGGGCTGACGAGTTCCTCTCCTCCCTCCCCCCGACGTCGTCGTCGTTCCCGTCGTCGTCGTCTTCGTCCGTCGTCGTCGTTGTCGTCGTCGTCGTCGTCGTCGTCGTCCGTCGTCCCTCGTTCTTCGTCCGTCGTCCTCCGTCCCTCGTTCCTCGTCGTCGTCTTCGTCGTTGTCGTCGCTGTCGTTGTCGTTGTCGTTTTCCCCATCGTCCGTCGCCAGTCGTCCCTCGTCGTAGTCGTCGTCGTCGTCGTCGTCGTCTGTGGTCCCTCGTCGTCGTCGCCGTCGGCCGTCGGCCGTCGGCCGTCGGCCGCGCGTGCGCGTGAATATCCGCGCGGCACAAAGCGCGTGAATAACTATCCGCGCGGCACGAAGCGCCCCAGCAGGCCCCCAGGAGGCGCCGCGAGGCGCCCGAGAAGCCCCCAAGGTCGGTCCCTCCCGCCCTGCACGTTGCCCCGCGCCCGCCGCCCCGGTCGTGTCCGGACGCTTCCCGGGCCAACGCCACGGGCGGCCCCCTCCCGCCCCAGGCTTTGCCCCACGCCGGCTGTGCCGACGTCCAGGGCGCCCCCTCTCGCCCCAGACAGTTCCCTGCGCCTGCTGGGCAAACGTCTGGGGCGCCCTCTCCCTCCCGAGGCCTCCAAGAGGCCCACGAGAGCGCCAGGAGCACTTCCAAGACAACCCCCCAGAGAGTGCAGCATCAATGAGTTTCTTTGAGCTTTGGGATGTTTTTGTTCGTCGTCGTCGCCAAAAGGTTCGGAGTGCTCGCGTAGCGCGAAGCGCTTATTTGCATGACACTAGTGGGCGGAGTAGGGGGCGAAGAGGTGAGGTCGACGACGTGGACGAGGACTGGGAGGGGGAGGTGGCGCTATTCGTGGTCCGATGTGAGTCTGACTGCATGTGGGCAGGAGGCTGAGGTGGACGAGGGTGAGGACGGAGACGAGGGTCCAGACATCCGACCCAAGGCCACGGATGCCTCGACCCCGTGCCTCTGGGGGCAGTTTCTCTTCCCAGACCCACTTCTGATGGCTCCCATGGGCGCAACGACGGACCAACAGAAATGAAACGCGTTGGGTTTGAACATCATCTCTCCGTTATCTGGGGAAGGCGGGGGCGGTGTTCAAGGTCCGGTGGATTTGACGGTGCGCGGGCACGGATTTCGAGGTCTGGTGGGTCCGATTGCTGGACCAGTAGTTCTGAGGGTGTCTGCGCAGGAGGACGAGGGGCATCAGGTGAAGGAGTAGGAGGTGGAGAGGGAGAAGCACGAGGGGGCGGTGGCCGCGGCACGGCGGCTCCCGAGGCCAAGTCACCAGCGTCGTTCGGCGTCAAGTTCAACTTCGAGACGAGCATGAAGTTTGGCTCGTAAGATGAGCCGTAAGGGTGGAGGAGAAGAGGTCCTCCTCTTCGGGAGGAGGAGGAGGAGGAGGAGGAGGAGGATGGAGGAAGAGGCCCTCCTGAGGTCCACCTCGTCCTCCTTCCTCGGGAGGAGGTGTTCGAGGATCGAGGGTCAAGATTTCGTATGCTCCTTTCCCTTTCGGGGCCTCTAGGAAGGTTCTCGTCCTCACGGCTGGACGAGCCTCAAAATTCTGGCCAGAGCGCGTTCCCAGGGTTAGGCGTTGCAGGGGGGGGGGGCAGAGGAGGAGGAGGAGGAGGAGGAGGAGGAGGAGGAGGAGGAGGAGGAGGAGGAGGAGGAGGAGGGATGGGTGGTGGGAGGAAAGGGAAGGATGGAGGGAGGGAGGGTGGATGAGGAAAGAGGGAGAGATGGAGGGAGAGAGGGAAGGAGGGAGGAGGGAGTATGAAGAGGAGGAGGAGGAGGAGGTGGAGGAGGAAAAGGAGGGATGGAGGCAAGGAAGAGGTGGGGGAGGATGGTCTACGGGACGCAGACCCAGTCTGACAAAGTCTGACCGCTCCGCGTATCCCCACCAGTGTGTTTGCAGTTGCCGCCCTGCAGTGGTGGGATGTACCTCCACGTGGATTGCTCATGAGTGGCCTAGGCTTCTTGTTCAACCACCTAAGGTTGCCACTGTTGGCGTGCGACACAGGTACGCTGGGCTGCTTGCTCAGCCCCACGCTATGCCGTGCTTTGCCCGGGTGGCTCGTTTACCTCCTGGCACTTGGCGCGACAAGGTACAATTCGTTTGCCTTCCTGGTGGTCTCGCCCCTGGAATGGTTGCACTTCAGCCGCCTGGCACACCTGGCACTTCTTGAAGATCTGCCTTCAGTCCCCGGCTTCGCTCCCCGGCGTCCCTCGGCGGCAGTTTCGGCGTCCAGGAGTTCGCGCGCTTAGGTAATTAGGTTTGGCTCGTAGCCCGGGGTGACTTCGGACGCCGCCTGCGATCCCCCTGGCGGCCGCGACGGAAACAGTATCCCCACCAGCCCATCCAGAAGCAGATCGCCAGGCGAGTTGCCTTGATCAGGGAAGTGTAGGCATGTAACGTAACAGCCGCCTTGGAAGCGATTTCTCGGCGGTCTCTTGTAGCCATGTTGCGGCTATATTCGGGTACTCGCGGAGGTTCTTGGGGTCCTCTTGAGGCCCTAATGGGCCTCAGGGGGCCTTCTTGGGTCTCTGTTGGGGCTGTCCTGGGGGGTCTGCGAGGTCTCTTGGGGCCGTGTCGTGCCCCATGGTTAAACAAGAAAAAAGGGGGGGGCATGAATTCAAATCCCCCCCTCGAAGACACAACGGCGCCGTGAATCCCTTTTTGCGGTGCTTTTGGGCGTTCATTGGCCCTCTTGGGCCCTCATGGGCCCTTCTTGGAACTGCCTGAGGCCTTGTTGGGGCCATGCCGCGGTCCCAAAACCCAATCGGAAGCAACACGGCGAGAACGCAATACGACACATTTGGTTTCTTAGTTTTGGGTTGTATTTTGGCTTCGTGGGGAAGTCTTCCGAGGGCTCGCAGAGCACCCAAAACCAAGTTTCAGGCCGTCTTGGGGTTTCGTGGATGTGTATCGGAGGCTATATTGGCCCATCTTGAGCTACATGGAGCAACATTGATGCCACGTTGCATTCTCAGAGGTCCTCATGGAGCCATCTAGGGCCCTTTTGGGTGCTCTACCCCTTCGCGGGGCGCCCCTCCCAGGCCCAGTGGGTGGGGGTATGGGGGAGGGGTCAAGACACCCTCTCCCCATGCAAGGCGTCCAGTTCACTCCCACCCGCCCTCCCAACACATAGCCCGAGCCTGAGCATGTTCAGCGGTCGTCTTTGGATTGGCAGCTGCTGCGGTCCAGAACTGACCCCATGTGCGCGACGCGTGCCAAGAGCGAGGTGCGCCACGCGTGCCAGGGGCGCCACGTGCGCCAGGCACCCCTAGGGCCCGAGCGTGCCAGGCACGCCTGGTGCGCCAGACGCGCCACGTGCTCCGCGTGCGCCAGGTGCGCCGCACACTCCAGCCGCGCCAGGTGCGCGAGGTTCGTGGCACGTGCAGAGTGTGTCAGGTGCGCCTGCGCACGTGACAGCACACTTCGGGAAACATGTCGGCCCCCACCATCCTTGTCGAAACCCACTGCCCATTAATGTGTGTGGCGGGCCTGCGCACAGCTGGCCACGCGCCACCATCCCCGCCGTCCCTGTCAAAAACCACTTGACAGTCATCGCGGGGTGGCCGCGCACGCTCCATATTTAGCCGCGAGGTATAGTTTGTATTGTTTGTTGTCAGGGATGGTATCCCCGCGCACAAGGGGGAATATGCAGACACCCTGTCCGTCCCTGTCAAAAACAATACAGAATGCTCGCGGGCCTCACGGACATGACCCACGACTTTTTCCCACTGTGTTTTTTTGTATTGACAGGGATGGTGGGCGGGGGGCGCATCTGGTTGGCTGCGCATGCTTTTAATGTAGAGGCAGAGTGCGGTTCGTATGGTTTTTGCAGGGGTGGAGGAGGGCGGGCCCGCATGGAGTCGGCATGGTGCCGGGTTGGCCGCCGGTCAGGTGGGGGAGGGGGTGTCTATCAATAGGGAACAGTGATCAAGGTACCCCGTAGATTGCAAACCGTCTGGCCTATTCCCACCTGCCCTCCCAACACATACGTAAAACCCGAACCTGAGCACGTTCAGCCGTAGTCTTTAGATGGGCAGCTACTGGAAACCAAAACCGACCCCATGTGCGCGACGCTGGGGCGAGGTGCGCCACGCGTGCCAGGCGCGCCACGCGCGCCAGGCACCCCTGGGGCCCGATCGCGCCAGGCGCGCCTGGTGCGCCAGACGCGCCACGTGCCCCGCGTGCGCCAGGCGTGCCGCACACTCCAGCCGCGCCAGGTGCGCGAGGTTCGTGGCACGTGCAGAGTGTGTCAGGTGCGCCTGCGCACGTGACAGCACACATCGGGAAACATGTCGGCCCCCACCATCCTTGTCGAAACCCACTGCCCATCATTGTGGCTGGTAGGCCTGCGCACAGCAGACCATACGCCGCCACTCCCGCCGTCCCTGTCAAAAACCGCTTGACAAGGATCGTGGGGTAGCCGCGCACGATCCAGATTTAGCCGCGAGGTGTAGTTTGTATTGTTTTGTTTTGAGGGATGGTAGCCGTGCGCACAGGAAGGAATATTCTGACACCCCCGCCGTCCCTGTCCCCCAAAAAAATACAGAGTGCTCACAGGCTGCACGAACATGACTCCAGACTTTGCCCCGAAGTGTATTTTGAATTGCTATTTGACCAGGATGGGGGGGGGCGTCGGGTTGGCCGCGTATGCTCCAAATGTGGAGACAGAAGGCGTTTTGCATTGTTTTCTGATCGGGATGGTGAGGGTGTGTGAGCATGGCTCTTGGTTTGCTGCCGGTCGCCTGGGGCAGGGGTTGTAGATATAACAGGAAGCAGTGATAAACTTTTCCTCCGAGCAGGGGAAGGAGAAAGCACTGGCAGAGAGACGATACAACTTTTCAAACTACCTACGCTATGAGCGCTGATGGGACTACAAGAAAATATCGCCCCTTTTCTCGCAGACGCACAGGACGAAAAGGAACGCGAGGCGCCCGAGCTGGAGGAACGACTTCACACGACTATTGCATGACAGGGAGGGAGGGAGTAAGGAGGGAGGGAAGGAGGGAGGAGGGAGGGGAGGGAGGGAGGGACTGGGGATGGAGGGAGGCAATCAGAAAGGGAAGGGACGCAGGGAGGGAGGGAGGGGCAGGGCCGGGAGGGAGGAATGAGGGAGATGAGAGGGAGGGAGGGAGGGGAGGGGAGGGAGGGAGGGGAGGGGAGGGAGGAGGCGCGAGGCAGGCGGCGCGCAGCGCGCAGCGCTCGCGCATCGATTTCGATGGCACGTGCCAGGGCGGCCTGGGCCTCGGCGGCGCACGTCTGGGGATCGGCCTCCTACCCCCCCCCTTCCGCCGCCCCCTCCCCATGCCTCTGGCGGATTGACCCTCTCAATCTCGGATGGGTGCGGTCGAAATCAGTACGGAAGGGTGGTAAGGACGCAAGGCCCTTGGAGGCCGAAATTGGGATTTTTGAGGCGGCCGGCGACTAGTGCAAACGGCAAAGGACGGCCGCAGAGGCAAGGACATGAGGGTACCTTAGATGAAGACGCGCGTCTTTATCAGGCGCGGTGACTGTACAAGCACAGCGCAGGGTAAGGATATGTGTCAGTTTCCTAGAGTGCCCTTGCCCCTTCGGCCCGTCCTTGGCGACTTCTGCTGGCCAGCCCCGTTCAAAAACACTTAAAACTGGCCTTCAAGGCCTGTGCAAACCTGTTGAAAAATAATGACCCCCCCTTCCCCTCCCCCCGGATCCCGACTGATTTTAATCCGCACCCAGAAAAATATGTGCTGAATTTTCCCCTTTGGAAAATATGCATGCCACGGGGATCGAACGATGCGATTGAAAAATGCACACATGTGTGAAACATTTGTAGATCTGGGATTCAGTGAGCCAACATAAGACCACCCGTTGTTTTTTGTGGCCTGCGGAGCTGAATGGCCTTATGTTGGCTCCCAGAACCCAAAACATGCAATTGGTTTCATGTGCTTGTTCCCTCACGATTTCGGGGGTGACACGTGTCGCCCTTTTTTTGAATACGAATGACCTTTATGATGACTCCAGAGTCCCGAGCCCAAATGTGCAATTTGTGTTTCTGAGACGGTTTCGGGGGAGCCACCTGCCACACTTCAGTTTTTGTTGTAAAGCTTAATGGCCGTATGTTGGCTCCCCAAGTCTCAAATTCACATGTGGTTTATTATCACGCGGTTTTGGGGGTGGCGCGTACCACCCGTTGTTTTCACGACGCCAAGAGGGGTTGCGCAGGATTCCGCCCCTGCGCCTGGAGCGCCAAGGCGGTCGCTGGGACGTCGACGGCGGTCCGGTTTGCTTCGCGTTCTTTTTGTTTTTTGGTTGCTCACTTCAGTGCTGGGAAAACCAAGCATTTGTTTTACTGTCCCTCCAGTTTTTTGTATAATATATATACATATACATATACATATATGTATATACATATATGTATATACATATATATATATATATATATATATATATATATATATATTAGTGGCCTTCGGCCAGTGCCGCCGATCCGGGTCGCTCGGATACACATATTACGCGGACACCTCACGCACGCACACGACCAAATGCACATACGGCAGACACACATACAGAGACACACTAGGCGCACGCCAGACACTAGCACGCACAGACATTCGCAGACACGCACCACACACAGACACTCGCACAGGAGCCTGTCAGGGCGTCGAGGGGGCTTCTTGGGGGCTTTTGGGGGCCCTCTTGGGGGCTCTTGGGGCCTCCTGGGGGCCTCGTGGGCTGGAAGGCTAGATTTTTTCCGCTTTTCGTCCCTCTTTTGGGTCCTCTTGGGGCCGTCTTGGGGGCCTCTTGGGCCGTCTTGGGTAGCTTTTGGGCCGCCTTGGGGCCCTCTTGGGCCGTCTTGGGACTGTCTGGGGGCCTCCTGGGCCGTCTTCGAGCGGTCTTGGGGGCCTCTTGGGCCGTCTTGGAGCGTCGGAAAGCCGAAAAAAGCGACAACCCCAAAAACATGAAAAAAAACCAATGGAAATCAACGATTTTTGCCTCTGGGGGCCCTCGTGGGAGGCCTCTTGGAGGCCTCTTCAGACGTCTTGGAAGGCTCTTGGGCCGTCTTGGGGCCATCTTGGGCGTGTTCGGGCGATCTTTCGGGGTCTCGGGACTTTCTTAGACCGTCCTAGAGACTTTTGCGGCCGCGGCCACCCTTTTAGCGCATCCTCGAGATTAGAGCCTTCTGTAAAAGCAGCCCCCCCGCATCCGCCGGAAACTCGCACCCCCCCCCCCCATCCCCCCTTCCCCGGCAGAGCCACCCCGGCAACCCCCCCAGAGGCTGAGGCTCAGCCTCGAGGGTGTAGCTGAGACTCCTGGAAACTCACACGCCGGATCGGCGGATATATATATATATATATATATATATACAAACCGCGTTTAGACATTACCTGTTCATTTTGAACAGGACGCGCTGTTGGCGTCACCGCGGGCGTTGCCCATGCGAAACAGAAGTCCTCCTGCCGAGCACCCGCCTTTGTCGGTTTTTGCGCAGACTTTAAGCGCCAGCCTGGGGAGGGCCAGCTTCTCTGCGATGAGCAACCGAAGGGACGTCATGGACGGTGGCGGGCCCGAGGAGATGTCCACCCCGAGGATGTGTTGCGTCTTGGTACCCCTCGGGGTCAAGGGCAGAAACGAGCGGGCTTGTGGCGGCCCCGAGAAGCTAAGGGGCGCCTCGACCCTGACTGCCAGCGGACGCCGAGCGCCCCTCCGCAGCGTCGCTGGCGAGGCCCAGGACGGCCAGCGTCCGCGCCTCCTCGCGGGGGAACAACACCACATGCCAGCGGCTCGCGTCAGAGCCATCGGAGCTGCATGGCAGCATATCCTCGGATGGGGAGCGGGAGAAGGGAAGGCCCCGCCGCGCAGGAGTCGGGAAAAAGGGAGTGCCTGTGCCTGGCTTGAGCGGCTTGAGCCAGAGCGGCTTGACGGTAAGGCTTCGGGCTGCGTGCAGGCAGGCTTTTGGGTAGTCCCAGCTGGCCTCAATCAGCCACCCGAGTAGTCCGAGTTGTTCTCAACAGGCTTGAGGCCATCTGGGAGAACTCGGGGGCTTTATGAGGCCATCCGGGGCTGCCTTGGATTCTGCCTGTGAGGAACCCGAAATTTTGCCGTGCATCTGTCTCCCCTCAAATTTGAACATTTGAACGTTGGAATGGGTACAGACAAAAATTGTACGATGCCCAACAGCAAGCCCTCTCCTTGAGCCAAACTAGGAAGACAAAGCTGCGCCAACTGCTGATCGGAACTTGGAAGGATGAGGCTGATAGCGCGGCGAACGGTGGCGACACCCACGCAGACATTGCCAGGGCCGCTCGCAGCCCAGACCACGCCTCCAGCATTGTTGAATCGGATTTCATTGCGCATGAACTTTGTAAAACTGACACCATCTTCGGCGGCGGAGGCGAAGCTGCGTTTCGAACTTACCAGGAAGCGTGCTAAGGTCAAACACCAGTCGGTAGCGATGCAGTGCCAGTCGGTGTCGCTGCTCACCTGCGCCGACGATGCGTTCTGGTGTGCCTTTTGCATGCCCTGCGTGAGGTGTCACGCCCGCCGACGCCGTTGCTGGCCCAGCCCGGGGTCGTTTTCAGTACCGCGACGGAGGCGGCGCTGGCCTACGAGCTGCTGGACTGGCCGGAAGACTTCGTGCCAGACAGGAGCATTGGGCCGCGTCCCGAGTCAGGTCCACAGCAGTCTCTCCAAGACCGGCCTCACCACGTTCCCCTTCACACTACAAATTCGAGAATCACTACAGGTTTCCCTCGGGCCTGAGTTCACAACACGAGCGCGATTCAGAGAGCTGTACGGATGCGCCAGGGATGTGGTACCAGATCTCATTAAGCCGATCGGCCTCCAGTGGTGCGATCCTTTCGCGCAAGGGTTCCCTGCCGATCTAGCCCCCGACGCAGTTCCATGTGTCTGTGGCGGCGTCGGCTTGGAGGGTGGCTTCGTCGGCCACGTCAGCGTCGCCGAGACAGGCGAGGTCAATTGGGGGGAAGTGTGACAGCACGACCCAAACAACAACGAAATGTGTGTTGCTGCCCCTCCCCCGGCTGCTGCGAGCCCCTCGCCTCCCTCGCTGAGCTCGTGAAGCAACGGGCCGTCCCCCGTGCTGCGGCCGCACATGCAGCAGGAACAACCGCGCCAGCAGCCGCAGCAGCGGCGCCCAGCGCTGCCGCTGGCCTGCGTGAGCGTCGACGACTGTTACCTCGAGGTGCTGCGCCTGGTCTGGCTCCTCGGCTCGGGGCCCAGCGCTTCGGCGAGGAAGTCATGGAGACGGCGCAGAGCCAGGGCCGCTTCACCTCGCAGCAGGGGGCGGCCGCTGGTGATCGGAGCCGCGTCAGGCAGGGCCTGGGCCTGGCGCCGGCCGCGCTCTTCCGAGGACGCTTTGAGGGTGCCTCGACGGCGCCGCCATCGAGCTGCTTTGCATAACAGCGCCCTCTTACGGGCATTTTCGCCGCAACGCCCCTTCTCCTTCTTCTTCTTCTTCTGCGTTTCGGCGCGAGGGCGGTGAGGATCGCTGTGGCTGCCGTCCCGCCCTCTGGGGGGGGCCGACTGCCTGTCGCCGTGGTCCCGGGCTACATGACCCCGTCGTGCCTCGGCGTGGTGGTGCTGAGGATCGCCGCGGTTGCCGTTTAGCCCTCCGACGAGAGCCCGTCTGCTTGTCGCCGCAGTCTTGGACTACATCACCCCGCCATGCTTGACGCTTCATCCACAGCTTTGGCTTCCTCCTGACATTGAGCCTCGTCCTGGGGGCTTGTCTTTGGGCCGCGTCCTGGGGGCTTTCGGGGGCGCCACCTTTCCTAGCACAGGAATTGGCCAACACCTGTCAGTATTTGCTTTTTGTTTCGTATCCTTTCGCTGATGTTCGCGCTGGTCGCTGGCGTTCATTACACCGCGTTGCCCCTTTCTGGTTCCTGTTCGCCCAGACTCCAGGCACCGACTCGACCTTATCTTGTTCTGTTTCGCTCGGAGGCGCGCGCTCTGCTCCGTACCGTTTTGGCCTGGCGTCCCGTCGGCGGCGTTTCGAGCCCCGTGCAGCGCGGTCCCGACTTCAGGGCAGCGCGGGAGTCACCGATGCGAAGGAGGTCAGTGGTGCTTTGGGAAAGGCGAGGCGAGAGGGAAACAACATAGCAACAAAACACAAACACGTGACGTCTGCGACCTGTCCCCCAAGAGTCCAAAGCCGACACGACCACAGGAAGCCAAGTTTTCGGATCTGCAGGTGCGCCCTCTGCCGCAGGCCGCGCAGGCGGAGCCGTCCTGGCATTGCCCTGGGACTACCTTGGGCTGCGCTTTGGGCTATGTTGGGTTATCCGGGGGCTTCTCGGGAACAGCGTTGGGTTATCTCGGGGGCATGTTGGGACCCTGCACGTTGGGGCCAGGCATGTCGAATGCACGCGCTGGGGCCGCCTTGGCGGTTCATGCGATGTTGGTGGGGCATGTTGGGGCCAGCATTTCGGGGTGCCTGGAAGCCACGTTGACAGCATTTTGGACAAAATTGGAACCATTTCGGCACTCTTTCGGGCCATCCTCAAACCAGAATGAAGGTGTCCCACTTGTGTTTCTCACTGCCAGAACGTGTCACGGGTCCTCGTGTTAGGTATAGTTGATTGGGGCGTCTCTGCCAGTCTTGGTGCCGCCTTGAGGCTTTGTTGGGCCGTCTTGGGCTCTGGGAGGTTTTGGGGGGACGCATTTGGTAACCGAGCACGTTCCATTATTCGCAAAGTGCCTACTCGCAGACGTCCGAAAAACACATGCCTCCTTCGATGTAATTTTTCGTAGATCCCCCGCGGCGGATCCAGGCCATTTGCGAGTAGTCACTTTGCAAGTCGTGGAACGCGCTCGCCTATTTGGGGTGTATCTGGAAGCCTCGGTGGCCCTGTTCGCCGGTCATGGTCTCCTCCTGCGAGTCCTGGGGCCGACGTGCAGAGGAAAAGGCAAGTCGCGGACGGAAAACTTATCCGTATCCGCGGCTTCGCGGGCCGGGCACCTGGGCCGCGACCCCGCGGGAATGGGGCGTTTTTGTTCGCGGATGCATCGCGCGGGCTGCATCCGTCCGACCGCGTATCCGCGGGGTCCCGCCACGGAACCCAGACGGCGAGGGCGCGGAGATGGATATGTTCGCCCCTCGTGAGGGATGACTTGCTTTGATTTCCCTTCCACTACCTACCAAAGCGCCCTAACGTAACCCGAAGGCCCAAAGTCGCCTGCAATTCCCGGTGAGGGGCATCATTGTACAGGGCGCGGTGGACAAGACAGGAGACAAACAATGAGGACGAGAGGTGCCAGCAAGGCCAGCAGCCAGGCAGGGGAACTTCACGCCCTGCGGACCCCGGGAATGCCCCTGAAAGCCTCCAGACGCTCCCAGAAGGGTCGTGTTCCAGGAGTGTTCGTCCACGGTCCTCATGCCCTCCCCCGTTTCCCCCCTCCCAAAGTCTGCCTCCTCCCTCCTCCTCCCTCTTCCTCCCTCTTCTTTCCCTCTTCCTCTCTCCTCCCCACCTGGTCTCGCCTGGACAGCTGTTCGCACCGGTGGTCGTTCGTTCCCCCCTCCTGTTCCTCCCTCCTTCCCTCCGCCTTCCCCCTTTCCTCCTCCGCACCCCTTGCCTGCAGTCCCCCGCAAGCTACCCCGTCCTCCTCCTCCTCCTCCTCATCCTCCCCTTCTCCTCCCACACCTCCTCCTCCTGCTCTCCTTCCTCTTCTCCCCTGCTTCGCCCTCCTCCTCCTCCCGCCTCCCCCGAGGGTCCCGCGCACCTCGCCGTGCCCGACGGCCCCCGGCCGCCCTGCGAGCAGACCGGCCCGGGCGGCCGCTGTTTTGAGATTTTCAAGTGGGGCGCCCCGGCCGCGCCAGGCGGGGCGCCACCCAGTCTGCCGCTGCCCTCGGAGGGGGGGCTGGCCGACCCCCACCTCGTCCCGTTGTTCAGGCAGTTGCGAGACGTTCTGGCTTGCCTGACCGCGAAGGGTCTCGAATGGTAACGGCCCCCCCACACCCGCGTTAAGCTCCCGGCTGGCAATTGAACTCGTTCTTCCACTCCACTCCTCGTCCTTACCCTCATCAGCATCATCACCATCATCATCGTCAGCAGCAGCAGCAGCATCATGATCAGCATCAGCATCATCATCATCATCATCAGCATCATCATCATCATCATCAGCATCATCATCATCATCATCATCATCATCAGCATCATCATCATCATCATCATCATCAGTATCATCATCATCAGCATCAGCAGCAGTATCATCATCCTCATCATCATCATCCTCATCATCATCAGCATCATTAGCAGCAGTACCATCATCATCATCAGCATCAGCATCAGCATCATAATCATTGTCATATTCATCTCCATTCCCATCTCCATATTCATCAACATCATCATCACCATCATATTCATCATCATCATCGTCATCATCATCATCATCATCATCATCATCATCATCACCATTACTACTAGCATCAACATCATGATTATCATCATCAGCATAGTCACCATCATGAGCATCACACATTACCAGCACCCTCATCAGCATCAGCATCCCCGACACCTCAACACCGCCATCACCATCACCACCACCATCATTGATCCTCCTCATCATCTCCCCCCCCGATCATCAGTGCCACCAACGCCGCGGAATATGTTTACCCAGAATTGTCGGGTGTCTCAATCCGTCAATACGCTCTCGCAAAACAAATACCCTGTGACGTGTTCAACCCATTGCACGAAATCACAGGAGGAGCTGGTCCAGAATAGTTCAGCCTTTGACAGCGCAGCTATGTGGGAAGCGCGCGCGCGTTGCGCGACTCACAGGACAATAGAGAAGGACGAAGATTGCGCCCCCAGGCGCGAAGATGGGTCAGAAACAGAGTTAGAAAAAGATGGGGGAAGGGCCGACAAATTGTCGCGGGAACAGCAATGAGACGCCGAAAGAGGATGAGGACGACAGTAAAAGAAGCCGGATGAGGAAAGAGAGTGACAGTCATTTCCAAGTGGCACGCTGGACAAGCAGTGCGACCAGCGCCATGTCGCTCCAGCGCTCCAACGGATCAGCTGTCCATAGCTAGTGCACGAATCGAGCGGTGCCGACCTCGCCCACCAGGTCCCCCTTTTCATCTGCGCCGCAGCGTGGGAGCTAAGCGCCCGCAGGCGCTGCGCCAGGTCTTCGGGACCCGCGTGGAAGGGAATCAAGGTGGGTCCAAATCCGCGTAGGACGTCACTCTCGCGGACCCCCAGCAGTCCTGAAAGAGACGACAACTCCCCCCTCCGTTTCCCCCTCCTCCTCCTCTCCCTCCTCTTTCTCTTTCTCCTCCTTTTCTTTCTCTTTCGCCATTCCTCGCGCAATGCTGACATGCCCAAACCGGATAGGTGGAATATTTTACAGGTGCGGAAACCATTTGCGTCGATGGATGTTCCAGGCATCGGGCTGCGCAGGCTTGATACATCTCACCAGGGATGTAAACAATAATGTGCAGGTCCGAAACAGCTCGGCGCCACTTCCAATTCAGGCCGCCCAAACATTGCACCACGTTGTTCCAATGCGCCCTTGGTGTGTGTGGATCCCCGTGTGAGGATCCGAAAGATGAATAAGTTCGAGGGTCCGATGAGCTACACATTCATATTCCTCCTCATCCTCCTCCTTCTCCTCCTCCTTCTCCTTCTCCTCGTCCTCCGCCATTCCTCGCGCAGGTATAGCATGGCCCGAAGCAGATTGGTGGGAGAATGTGCAGTTCCCGCGGACATGTGTGCCATGCTGGCCCCTCATGTTCCTTCCGAAATGGGCACAGTTCCGAAGTTCGCAGCCCAGAGATCTAATCTGAATTGGCGTTTGGTACCGAGTATGCTGACCCCCCAGCAGCCCTCGAATGTGGCGATGGCTTCGCAATTCGCCGCCCCCCTGCGACTGGTGCCCACTATGCTGCCGCAGAAAGTTGCGACATTCACACAGTTCGCAGCCCCCCCCGAAGAAGGCAGGGTCTAATCTGAGTCTGCGCCTGGTACCCATTACGATGCCCCCCCCAGCATCCTTCCAACTGGGCAACAGTTTCGCAGTTCGCTGCCCCCCCAGGGATGGCGAGGCCGAGTCTGAATTTGCACCTTGTGCCTATTATTCTGGCCCACCCGCAGCCCTCGAAAGATGGCGACAGTTTTGCGCAATTCGCAGGTTGCACCCTCAGGGATGGCGAGGTCTAATCTGAGTCCTGCGCTTGGTACCCACAATGCTGTCCCCCAGCAGCTTTCGAAAGTGGCGACGGCTTCTCATTTCGCAGCCCCCCAGGGCTGGCGAGGTCTCATTTGAGTCTGCGTCTGGTAGCCACTATGCTGCCACCCCCAGCGGCCCTCGAAAGTGGCGAGAGCTTAGCAGTTCGCAGCCCCAAAGGATTTGTGAGGCCTAATCTGCCAGCGCTGTTCGAACGTGGCGAGGGTTTTGCTGTTGGCAACCCCACAGGGATGGCGAGTTCTAGCCAGCATTTGCGCCTGGCACCCACTATTCTAGCCCTCCTGGCAACCGTCGAACGTGACGACAGTGCCGCTGGTCGCAGCCCCCCCCCCCCCCCGGAATGCCGAGGTCTAATCAGATCCTACGCTTGGTACCCACCTTGCTGCCCCCCCAGCTGCATTCGAAAGTGACGACGGTGTTCTACTTCGCACCCCCCCAGGGCTGGCGAGGTTTAGTCTGAATATGCGCCTGGTGCCCGTTATGCTTGCCCTCCTGGCAGCCCTGGAAAGTGGCGACAAGTGTTCAGTTCGCAACCCCCGAGAGCTGGCGATGTCCAATCTGCATTTGCGCCTGGTGCCACTCTGCGCTGGACTCCCCGACAGCCTTCGAAAGTGACGACAGTTTCGCAATTCGCAGCTTCCCAGGACTGGCGAGGCCTGATCTGCGTCTGCGCTTGTTACCACTATGGCGATGACAGGCTTCTCAGTTCGCAGCACCCCAGGGATGGCAAGGTCTGCTTTGAGTCTGCGCCTGGTATCCACTGCGCTGCCCCCCCCGCAGCCCTCGAAACTGGCCACAGTTTCTCAGTTCGCAGCCCCCTTGGGATGCGGAACCCTTCCACCAGCCGTCCAATTTGGAAGCAGTTTTGCAGATCGCAGCTCCCCAGGGATGTCGAGGAAGCAGGGTAGCAGGCAAGTGGGAGACAGGGCAGAAGACGGGCAGGAGACAGGGTCCCGGGGTATCAGGCAGGTCAGAGGCTGGAAAAGAAGATGAGGAGGGAGGCGGGAAGGAGGGATAGAAGGTCGCGACCGCGGTTGCAGATCCAAAACGAGAACCCAAAGCAGGAGGGTTGGGAATCCATAGTTTCCCACTGCTGACAGCTGGTACATACCCTTTGCGGTTGCTGGCTCACCCATTAATGTTATGATGTTTGTTTTTGGTTTGTGCAAACTGTTCTGAGAACATGTATGGTTGAGACCGTCTTGTTATAAAAGGGCGGTTGTAAGAACATGGGTTATGTTTTTGAAGCACTCATGTGTTCAGGACGGATGTCGTGGTATGCCTGTAGGAATGCTGGAATGGGCGGTCCCTGCTCCTGCTGTGAGCCTGCAATCCTGGCGTTGCAGTTTTTTGTTGGGCGCAAGACCGACCCGATGGCGGGCCCAGGGGCCCTCACAACTCGAAGCGGCTCGGAAGGTGGCGCAGAGAGGTGGGGTATGGTCAGCGGCGGCAGAGAGGGGAGTGCTGATTTGGGGCGGGTATCATGTCGGGGGCCATGATAGTGCCCCAGATGTCATGGCGCCTCCTCTTATGGCATTCCGTCCCCGCTCACCCCCCCTGGGCCGCGCACGTGCCGCCGTCCATGATTTGCGCCCCCCCTCTTGGACGCCGCCACCTGTCTGGGGCCGCGGCGGTGATCTCTGCCGACGCTTCCATTCTTTGCCACGTCGGACCTCAGGGCCGTCTCGGTTCCGCAGCAGTCACGACCGACAGGTGTTTGGCCAGCCTCGGCCCCCCGTGGCTCTCACGGGGTCCCGTGGCAGTCAGAGAACGGCTGAGGATGAACGTCCAGCCCTGGGTGGAGGGGTCCAGATCTCTCGGGAACCACGCGAACAAGCATCGCGACGTCGACGTTCTGGAGAGACATCGGCGGCCCTCCCGACCGAGGAGAGTGTCTGGTGTTGCTGGAGGCGTCCCCAGGAGTTCCGGGTGCCCCCCAGGGCGCTCCTCACGAGGAGCCCAGATGGCTCCAGGGGTCGGCATGGAGCAGAAATCTGGGGAGGCTTCGAGCCATGAGCACATCTGGCCACCTCCGAGAGGGACGGGGAGATGGAAGGGACGGGGGGGAGGAGGAGGACGACCAGCGATGGAGGAAGAGGAGAGATGAGGAGGACGAGTGGGGATGAGGGAAGGGTAGGGGAGGAAGACGAACAGGGACGTGGGAATAGGAGAGGTTGGAAGGAAGAAGTGGGAGCAGTGCAGAGGAAGGAGGCAGCTGACAAGTGGGGAAGGAGAGGAGGGGAGAGGAGGGCCGCGGACGTCTCACCGGCCCCCCTCCGATCTCACCGTTCCGCAGCCGGCAGAGTCCGCAGCCTCCCCACGACCCGGCGAGACTCTGGGCCACTTGCCCGTTCAAAGGCGCCTCCTCCACTCCGCCCCAGGGGAGAAGCGGGCACCGATGCTGCTGCACTTCCCTCGCTGTCGCCCCTCGCGGCCGGCCGGGAGGCCCTCGCCGGCACGGCCCCGTTCGCCTCGAGTTTCTGGTCAGAGCCCACCGCAGGAGAGGCCCGGGGAGCATTGGCATCGGTACCTTGAGGTGTCTGGGCATGTTCGTTGGGTGGAGGGCAAAGGGTGAAATCTGAAATGCCGGTTCGTTTGATTTTCGCGGCTTGAGTCTGCAAAAGGTGAGTCAGAAGACGGGCTGATCTTCGAGGTGCAAGAGAACATATGAAGTTCACCCTGAGCCCTCCACCCAAGGAACATGGTCAGGGTTGTCCATCTCCGCCCCGAAAGAAAAGAGTGCGCCTGGCAGTGTACGGCCTCTCTCCGCTGCCCGACGCGGGGGGCCGTCAGAGTGAGCGGCTCGCGAGGCATCGTGAGCGCTGAGCTGGCCGTCGGGCCTCTGTGCCATCCGGACCACGGTTGTCGGCGTCGGTTGCATGATCTTCCCCCATTGCTGGAACGGAGCCCGCCCAGCTCCGACAACTCGCGCCCATACCTATAGCGCCGTCATTGCCTTGCGGTTCCCCCACCGTCGTCCGTATAGGTTTGGACTTGTGCTCTTCTCCTTTCATCATGCCAGAGCCGCTCCCGCAGAATTGGCTCCAGACCTCTCCAGGGGGTCCACGACGAGAACAACAGAACATACACGGCGTCGCAGGTCCAGCTCTCCCTCGGGCCCTCCTCCCGCCGAAGAGCCAGAACCGGCAGGCATGGACCCCCGGAGGCCCGCGCGGCATTCCCGGGTCTGCGCCGACTCCAGCCTCCCCCGCCTCCCTGGAGGCGCCGCCAGGGGGCGGGGTGGGCACCGCCGACCTAAGAAGTGCGCGCGGACGCTCGAAAGTGTACGGTTAAGGCGGGCCTTTCCTCCACACGCGGAGTATTTCTTCAGCAGGTGAAAAATATATGGGACGTTTTTGTCATTACTTTGTAGCATTGTTGGGGTATTTCTGTTGTTTTTTCCCAACGTCCCCCTGCAAGGAGACAAGCCCGACTTGAGTGTATGGCTATGGCTATGTCGCTGCCTGCGGTGCCGTCGTCGCTCCCTCTCCGACGGGGTTTGCGCGCGCGGCCGGACCTCCTCGGATGCCCTTAGCTACGCCGGACCTCTTTGGTGCCGCTCGAGGGTCTGCCTTCAAGCGGGCCTGTCCCTCTATAGGAGGAAAGTTCAAAAATAGCAAAAACAATTTACGATGTTTGACAATGCTTGAACATGTTTTAGAGTAGTTCTGGATTCTTTTAAACTTTTCGCCAAAAATTACCCTGTAGGGGGACAGACCCGACCTATATCTACCTGGTCTGAGAGCTCTCTGGCTTGGCAGCGGCAGCTTCCTCCCGTCTTGCGAAGAAGAAGCAGATGCATACGCATAAACCGTTTGCGTTCTTCGCGGATATTTTGGACGTGCGTTGGAGCCCCTCCAGTGGCACCTCCAGCGCCGCCTTGGGCGCGCTCCGCGCGCCAGGGAGGGGGTCTCAGCGAAGTTCCAAGGGATCCGCGCGGACCCCCGAGATGTTGTGTGACTGCCGTTGTTTCCTCTTCTATACATCAGACCTCTCTGGCCGTTCCGCTGCAGCGTCCTCCCGTCTTTCCCCGTCCTTGGATCAGCCGCTGGGACGCGTCCCGCCTCCAGTCGACCGCTCGCTGAACCAGCTCGCCGATGCTCAAACAGTTCGGACCGCGAGCGACGCGCACATCCGTATCTCCGCGCCTCCGCGGTTTGCATTCCGGGGCGCGATCCCGCGGATACAGTGGGGGCGCGCATCAAGAAACCAGTTGTTTTTCGTCAGGGTACCCTGGGTTTCTTCGCTCCGCGCGCTGCGCGGAGACTCCCTGCGGCCGTCCAAGAAGCTGCTGCGTTCAGGGTGCTCCGGGTTTGCCCTCAGGTGCACCTTGCGTGCGGGTTTTCAGGGTTTCGTTTCTTGCGAGGGTTTCTTGCGGCCGCGCCCGCACTGTACACGGTCGCACGGGTACGTTTCGCGCGGGGCAGCCGCGAACAAGAGGCCCCGTTATTATCCGCGGGGGATCGCGGCCCGGGGGCTCAGCCCGCGAGGCCGCGGATGCGGATATGTTTTTGCTCGCCCTTGATCGGACACGCCGCTTCTGCTCTTTTCCAGTTTGTCTCGAGTTAGACTCAAGGTCGACTCAAGGTCGACTCAAGTTCGACTCAGGTTCGACTCAGGTTCGACTCAAATTGACGGACGTTCGACGTATGAGCATTCAATAGCACCCCCGCTCGACGGGGTCGATCTTCTAGCGGCCCTCGTCGCCCCGCCCTCCGCCCTCCTGCCCGTCACAGACAGGCGGGCGGACGAGGCGACGATGGAGGAGCAGGAGGAGTTGGAGGTGGAGGCGGCAGAGGCGGAGGCGGAGGCGGAGGCGGAGCAGGAGGAGGAGGAGGATGAGGAGGACGAGGAGGTGGAGGAGGAGGAGAAGGATGAGGAGGAACACAGAGGAGGAGGAGGAGGAGGAGGAGGAGGAGGAGGAGGGAAGAGGAGAAGGAGGAGGAGGAAGGAGAAGGGAGGAGGGAGGAGGAGGATGGAGGAGGGAGGTGGGAGGAGGGAGGTGGGAGGAGGAGGAGGGAGGGAGGGAGGAGGGAGGAGGGAAGAGGGAGGGGGGAGGAGGGAGAAGGGAGGGGGGAAGAGGGAGGAGAGGAGGGGGAGGGAGGAGGGGGCGAGAGGAGAGGAGGAGGGGAGGAGGGACGAGGACGAGGACGAGGACGAGGCGGTGGAGGAGGAGGAGGAGGAGGAGGAGGGAAGAGGGAGGAGGGAGGAGGGGAGGAGGAGGGAGAGGAGGAGGAGGAGGGGAGGGAGGAGGGAGGAGGAATGAGGAGGAGGAGGGAAGAGGGAGGGAAGAGGAGGAGGCGGTGGAGGAGGATGGAGGAGGAAGGAGGAGGAGGAGGAGGAGGAAGGAGGATGGAGGAGGGAGGAGGAGGAGGGAGGAAGAGGAGGGGGAGGAGGGGAGGAGAGGAGGAGGAGGGAGGAGGAGGAGGAGGAGGAGGGGAGCAGGAGGGTGGGTAGGAAGAGTGGATGGGAGGGGAGGAGATGGATTGGGAGGGGAGGGGAGGGGAGGGAAAGCGAGGGGAGGGGAAGGAGGGGGAGGGCAGGTATGAAGGGGAGGGGTGGGGAGGGAGGGAGGACGGGAGGGAGGAGGAGCGTGAAACGGAAAGGGGGACGCGCATTTGCGTTGGCACACGTGCGCCCCCGCCTCTTGGCGGCGTGGCAGGCGCGGCTTTCGAGGTAGGTGGACCCTCAAACTGTCTTGTAGGAGCGGGGTCTCCCCCCCTGGGCAGCGGGCACCTGGTTGCGCCTTGCGCTTCCCCTCTGCCAAAACCCTACTCTGGACTCCGTCACGGCCGCACTCTGCCGCCCAGGATGTCGGCCACACCGCGCACCAGTCGGGCGTGCCACGGCCAGGCCAGGAGCGAGGAGAAGGAAAGGAAAGGAGGGAGGAGGAGGGAGGGGAGGGCGAGGACAAGGGAGGGATGAGTAAGAGGGGGAGGAAGAGGGCGAGGAACCTCAGGAGGATGAGGACGAGGACGACCACGCCGACGACGTCGGCGTGCCGATTGGGTTTTTGGCCAGCACGTAGTGAGCTACGTAGGAGGGAGGGAGGAGGGGGAAGGGAGGGAGGAGGAGGGAGGCGGACGGACGAAGGTGGAGGCGTGGGGAAGAGCAGGGATGATTCGAAGCACGGGGAGGGGAGGGGAGGGGAGGAAAAGGCGCGGAGGCGGACGAGGAGCAAGATGACGACGCCGCTGGCTTCGACGTCGGCGTGCCGATGAGGGGGGGGCTGTGCGCACCGGCCTGGCGTGCGCTCAGCCTTCGGCGCGGCGCGGGCTGGGCGCCACCGCGCGGCCCCCCCCCCCCTCATCCCTCTTTCCTCCCCCCCCTCCCCTTCTGCTCTTCTTCCTCCGCCCATCGTCCTCCATGCCTAACTCCCTCCCTCCTCCATCCCCTGACCGCCTGCCTGCCTCCTCCTCCCCGGGACGGGACCCCATCGACCTCCCCCCCATTTCCTCTTCCCCTCCCCCCCCCGCCTCCTCCTCGTCCTGAGTCCCTCCTTCTCTTCCCTCGCCCCCGCCAACCAAAATCAACCCGCATGGGCATTCCTAAATGCACCGTGCGGCATCATTCCGAATTCCGCGTGCGGCATCGCAAGCCTGACCGGCAATTCGCCCCCTCTCCCACTCGGGCCCATCAATTTATTAAGGGGACTGCTCAAGCCAATGTCGTCAGCCAGGTTTCCATGTCATTGCGTCGATCCCCTTGCTGTTCCCCAAGTGGCGTCGTCGTGCCAGTGCGAGTGCGAACGTGTTCACTCATCATTGCCGTCTTTGGTTCGCCCGCGCCGCGTGCATCACTACAACCCCGCCTCCCTGCGTTGGCGACCATATTACCTTCCATGTCCAGTGCTGTATCCGTGGACCTTGCGAGACCAGCTTCAGTGCCAGGCTAGTGCCGGACACATTTTATGGACAGTTTCACATCAGATATTTGCACGTTGGCAATAGTGATCCGCGTCATTGACGGCTACGGATTTCGGCCATGTAAATTTACCAGTCAATACTTACCAGTGGCACCAGTCTATTGCCCACTTACACCATTGTATGATGATTTGGGCCACGCATTCGAAACCTCCCCGTTGGCCACAGTGGCAATATGTGTATGTACGTGTATAGCCCCTGTTTCTCCTCATGAGGGTCAGCCTGGGGTCTCATCGTTGAAATGGAGCGGGAACTGCTTACCTGCATTTCGGTAGTGATCTTCGACGACATCCCCTTGAGCCACAATCCGACATCCAGGAGCCGTACCGGCGGGTCGTTTCGGCGGTGCGGTGCCGCTGAGGTCCTTCACGTCTCTTGTCGTTCGCTTCGTTTCGTCCCTTATTTCGTCGGTCTGTCGTTTCCTATCTCTTCTCCTTTCCCGCGCTGTCGTCCCTGTGCGTTGGGGTCGTTGTTTCCCCCTCGGCCTCGTCTTCCCCCTCTTTTCCCTCGGTCGTCCGCCGAGCTGGTCCGATGCTCGAGATCAGTGGCTTGTTGGCCCTCTCCTCCTCCCCCTCAGGATAAAGATCTGCCCCCGTGCAATTCACACAGAAGGGATCCATGCATCGAGTGCGTGGTTGGTACTACTTTGGTGATCGAATCCTGTCGTGGCGCCGTGCCACCGCGATTGAATCCATATATATATATATATGTGTGTGTGTGTATTTGTGTATATTTAATCGCTTCGCTCATGCCGCCGGCCCTGGAGCCCTCTTTAGGGCCTCTTGGGGGCCTCTTGGGGACCTCTTGGGAGTCTCTTGGGGCTCCTTGGCGGCGTTTTGGAGGCCCCCAGGGCCTCTTGGGGGGCTCTTGGGGGTAGTCGATTGCGGCTCCCCCCTCGGAGGCCACGATCCTCGTGAGGGGTGTCGAAAAATACCCTCCCCTGGAGTGGTCTGGTGGCTTCTCCCGGGCTTCTCTCGGGACCTTGCCGGGGTACTTTTCGTCCGGGGGCCCCCAGGGGCCGCTCCGCGCGCGCGAACTAGAAATATTGTTAACAAGTTACCGGAGATCTTAGCACGCCTCTGGCCCGTTGGGCCGGCGAATTATATATTGACGTCGCTCTTTTACAAGCGATCGCACGCGATGGCATACCATGCTGCCGCCGCAAAGTCATTCGACGACTGGCTCAAACACGCAGGGCGCGCAGGACAATTCAAATAAAGAGACAAGATGGCAGAGATGACTCGGCAAAGACATTTCAAAGGGAGAGGCCCTGTTGGCACCACTTGCGTTCTCATCTTTCCACAACTGCGACAACGCCCTTGCCTGTGAGCGAGAGAGCGGCCGCGCACGTGCGCATTGCATTCTTGAGCGGGTCTCCGTCATGTTGCGTTGCCCTTTTTGTCGAGGCGCGCGCGGGCGCGGACATGCGCGCACGTGTTCGCGGCGCCGCTTCCACAACGCGACGCGAACTATGGATATTCGTTTTCCGGCATGTTGCCTCCATCGTCGCTCTCCCGCCCAGCAGATCATACGAATGCCCAAACACCTTGTTCGCACCTTCCGCCCATTCTGCTACCCGCTGGCCGTTTGACTATTTGCGCCAAATGTGTTCGTTCAACACTTCTTCCAGGATTTGATGGCCCCACGCCAGCTATCTGAGTTCAGTGTTTCATTCGCACTCAGCTGCGATTCGCTCCTGATTACAGTGACCAGCCGCACTGTTTCGAACCGTCCTTTATCATCATCATCCTCCGACTCCTCCGCCGCCTATGCCCTGTCGTGCCCCCTCTCTCTCATCCACTTTTGCATCCCAGACCCCTCGCACGTTTCTTCCTCCTTCATCATCCCGTCTTCATTCCGCCCCTCGATTCCAGGCCCCTCTTCATATCACGCGCCTGCTCCGCCACCCTCCTCCCTTTCCCTTGTGGATCGGCGCCGCCGCCACCATCATCACCACCACGATGCGCAACATCCAAGCCACACCATCACCATCAACATGAGAATCATGAGCCCTCTTCCGCCAATTCTCTTCATGTTAATCCATCCGCCTCCGAGCCCGCGTCCCTCCTCCTCCTCCTCCTCCTGCTCCTCCTCCTCCTCCTCCTCCTCCTCCTCCTCCTCCTCCCCCTCCCCCTCCCCCTCCTCCTCCTCCCCCTCCTCCTCCTCGTCCTCCTCCTCGTCCTCCTCCTTTCCCCCCCCCACATTCTGCCCGCCTCCCCTCCCCTCTCCCCTTCTTTTTTCGTGTTTACTCTCCTCTTCCTTCCCCCACTTTCCGTCCTCCCTCCTCCCTCCCCCCCTTCTCTCCGCGCTCCGCCCCTTCCTTCCCCCCCTGCCTGCCCCCCCCCCCTCCCCTGCCTCGGGGGTCGCACCGCCTGCGGCGCGATGTTGGACGAGGACCGCGCCGCACTCGGCCCGCCGCTGGCGGCGTCCCTGGCCGGGGGGCGCCAGTGCGGCGACGCCCTGGTTTGTTTCAATACAGCGTGGACTCATGCCAAGAAGCCCCCTTCTTGCCTCCAGGGTGCTCTCGCTCTCTTGGGTTCCGATGGTTTTACGATGGAGAGCGCGACAGCGCCACGCCAAACATCAGTAAGTGTCCTGGGGTCTCTGGGTTTGGCTTTTTCGTGGAACGTGTCTGGAACGACCCTTTCCCCGGGACTGGCTCCTGATCCCGAGCCGTGTTCTGCAAGTCCCAAAAAGCAGTGAGGCCGAGCCGAGGGATTGTCTGGCGTCCGCCGACGTCCGTCGTCGTCGTCGTCGTCGTCGTCGTCGTCGTCGTCGTCGTATGCGTCGTCGTCGTCGTCGTCTTCGTCGTCCGTCGTCCGTCGTCGTCTGTCGTCGTTACCGTCGTCGTCGTCGTTGTCGTCGTTGTCGTCGTTGTCGTCGTCGTGGACGTCGTCGCTCGTCGTCGTCGTCCGTCATCGCTCGTCGTCGTCTTCGTCGTCGTCGTCGTCCGTCGTCCGTCGTCCGTCGTCCGTCGTCGTCGTCGTCGTCGTCGTCGTCGTCGTCGTCGTCGTCGTCGTCGTCGTCGTTCGTCGTCGTCGTCGTCGTCGTTGTCGTCGTTGTCGTCCGTCGTCGTCATTCATCGCTCGTCGTCGTCGTCGTCGTTGTCGTCGTCGCTCGTTGTCGTCGCTCGTCGTCGTCGTCGTCGCCGCCGTTTTACGACGCAAAAAAAAACTTTGTACCGCTTCCCCGCCCGTCCTCGCCCTCGGCTCGGCCACGCGCGCGGGGCCCATCCGTGGCCTCGGCGGCGGTTCGGGCGCTGCCTGGACGCGCGCCTTTCGGCGGCCCCGGGCACCGAGGAGGCGGGAGGAGGAGGAGGCGGGAGGAGGCAGAGTTGAGGAGGAGGAGCAGGAGGAGGAGGAGGAGGAGGAGGAAGAGGAGTCGGGGTCAGGCTGCGCGGCGGCGAGTGCGTCTCCCGGCGCCGCGAAGCTGCGGCCGCACGGCACGGCGCCCCACGCCGCGACCGCCGCGTGCGCTGGCGGGGTCCGCCCACGGGCCTCATGCCTCAGCCGCCTCGTCGCCGCCAGCCGTTGCCGTGGACCACGGCGCCAGCAGCGTGGGCGCGCCTCGGCTGGCCATGCCAGCCCTCCTGCCGCCGCCGCGCCGCCGGCCATGCCAGCGTCGGCGTCTGCGCGGCCGCCCGCTCGGGCGCTGGCGGTGCACGCCCGTGGCCGCGCCACGTGATGCCCGCGCCAGCCGCACCCGCAGGCCGCTCATGTCGGCGGCGCCCCGTCGCCGCTGTCCTGCACGGGGTCGCCGACGTACTCGTGAGTGACCGGGTGCACGCCCGCCCTCATGTGATTGAGCCTCGCCTTGGCGTTCTTGTCACCAGGCTTCGCCAAGCACGTCTCCGCGAGCAGCACGGTCGGGCCTCCTGCTGCGCGCGCGCGCCGCACGCTATGCAGCACACCACGCTGCCCGCGACCATGAGCACGTGGCTGGGACGGGCCTCCTCCACCCCCGCAGGCTGGCCTCGGCTCAGGCCGCTCTCGAGGTCCTCCCTGGCCTTGGCCCGCGTGCCGCCCCCGTCGCAGCCGCAGGCCAGCGATGCCGAGCTGCCGAGCCCCTGGGCGCGGTGGCGCAGCGGGGCCGTCACGAGCCCCGCGGGGCGCGCATCGTCTGGCATGCAGAGCTGGGACCCCGTCTCACGCCGGAGTCTGGCCGTTACGCGCCTGCCTAGGCCGCTCTGTACATACCTCGAAGGTCCCGCCGTCGAACTGGCCGTCCGCTGCCCTCTCAGCTGCCAGCCTCGCCTCGTCGGCCTTCGGCCTCTTGTCAGCTCCGAGCCTGGGCCTGCCGCCCTCGACGAAGATCTGACGGTGACGCGGCACCGCCTCGAGCCGAGGGGCCTTGATCAGCGGAGCGCCGTCACTGTCGGAGCCAAATCCAGCTTCTGCCCGCTTTCGGGACGCTCCCGAGCCGCTGCGGCTGCCCAGCTCGCCGTCGCCCTCGCGCGTGTGCGCGGAGGCCGCCCTGCTTCTTCCTGGGCCCCTGGCAGCCGCGGACCTGTCCCACTGCCAAGTACAGGAGGAGGAGGAGGGAAGGGAGGAGGAGGAGGGAGAGGAGCAACGCCACAAGCTTGCTCTTCAGGTCCCAGCAGCGTCAAAAAGGAAGAGGAGGAGGAGGAGGAGGAAGAGGAGAAAGAGGAGGAAGAGGATGAGGAAGATGAGGGTGTGAGAGCTGCCTGCGTCCTTTCCCTGGGCTAAGGTGCTCGGGGACAGGTGCGTCCCCAGCCTTCGACCCCGGCACTGTTGTTTTTTGGGGGTCAGCCCCTTGCGCGCCTCCCCGGGAGGGAGGGATGAGGAGGGAGTCAGAGAGGAAAATGTATCCATACCTCTACCCTTCGCAACTCGTTTTCCGGTTTGTTCGGCCTCCTGGGAACCCTCGTCGCCACCGTTGGATTCGCCTCGAAGTCCTGGCCAGAACGTTCTCCGGGAGATGTCCGGATGGTAGCGGTATTGTTACCCTTTGGTTTCCCTGGAAAGTCACAGGGAAAGGAGGAGAAGGAGGGAGGACGGAAGAAAAAGGGAGAGGAGGACAACTGTAAACCCAGGGCGCATCAACGATTTGCAACAAACGTTCCCTCGAAGGGCCCGAATCATAATTCTCACAACGTTCCCAGGAGTAAGTTTCACTGCGGGAAGCGCGCCATTGAAACACAACCGTACACGAGTCGTCTTTTCTGCCAGAACGCAATCCCTGGGGCATTAAGGCCGCGATTCAACGTGACTGTTGCTTCCTGGCAATCCTAGATCGGGCCAGAACCTATTGTTGGAACTCGTACTGCGAATCAACACGACTGTTGCGTTCTGAATCCTAAATAGCGCCGGAACACCGTTCCTGGGACTTCAGCCCTACGACTCCTTCAAACAGCTACAGTAACTCATGAGGCACGTGCGCGGCGCTGAAGGCAAGAGCCGCATATTCAGAAGGAGCGGACTTCCACCGTGAATTTGCTGCAGAGTATAACAATAATATCCAGGGCGCTACGGCGAGACATAGTTTGGAAAAGACTTCTGCACCATCTGTGTACCTATAGCATGTTATAAGCTCCAGTGTCGCAAGTGACGAAGCCTCATGCGAAATGCCCGGCCCTGCCTACCCACACGTTTGGAGGTTGCGACACGCAGGAATCATTTATGAGGGGAAGGGATCGAGGGGGGGTAATATGAGTCAGGAGGTGGAACACCACACACACACAGACAGAATGGATCGTCGATGCCGGGGAAAAGCTGGGAAAATGAGGGAAGTAGGGGGGGGGGAAGATGAACATCCTGGCACATGCGGGTGATCCTGGGATTTGTGTCTATTGATTTGTGTCCTTGGGCCCCTCGAGCGAGGAGGCTCCCAGGCCGGCAAGATGAGGCCAAGGTAGGTCGTGGGGGTTCGTGCCGCATCGCCAGTGCATCGGCACTGCCGCCATCGTTGCGCCGCGATTCGGGCGACCTCCAGGCCTTTGGTGGCGGGTGGCGACCTCCGAGGACCCGAGATCTCGGCACGGCGCTGCCTCCAGCTGGGCATCGCGCGGACGTGTGCATTTTTGCCCCCTGGCGAGGGTTGTCGAGGAGCAGTATTGGATGCTCGGCAGAGCAAGCGGAAGACGCCGTTCAAAGCCAGGGGCCATGGGCATCTGACGGCAAAAAAGTGAGCGCACGAGTTCGTAGCAGTGCACGGGGAATGCACGTCCGAACCATGGTGGGCCAGGCCTCGGCCGCTCGCGTCTGCCGCCGAGCCGCCTCGCCGCCGCCGCTGAGGTTGCCGGGCGCGCTCGGGCAGGCGTGGTTCGGAGCTCGGCGCCGCGCGGGGAGGGCGGGGCGCAGCCGGGGGCGGCGTTCCTGGACTGCCTGTGCCTGGCCTTAAGCTGGGCATGTCCCTCTGGAGGAGGAACATCCAAACATAGTTATTGAATCGCTTCGCTCATTCCGCCGGCCCTGGAGCGCTATTTGGGGCCTCTTGGGGCCGTCTTGGGGGCCTCTTGGGGGCTTCTTGGGGGCTTTTTGGGAGCGTCTTGGAGCTCCTTGGCGGCGTCTTGGGCTCCCCTGGGGCCTGTCAGGGCGCTCTTGGGGGCCCCTTGGGCGGGAGGGGGGGTAGTCGATTGCAGCCGCCCCCATTGGAGGCCACGATCCTCGTGAGGGGTGGCGAACTATATAGCCTCCCCCCTCGGGATCGCCCGGGACCCGGCCGGGACCCGGCCGGGGGTCAGCTGGGGTACTTTTCCGCCAAGGGCCCCCAGGGGCCGCCCCGCGCGCGCGAATTAGAAATAGTGTTATGTAGTTACCGGAGATCTTAGCACGCCTCTGGCCCGCTGGGCCGGCGAATTAAAACATTAGCCTGGGGGGGCGATTGGTCAAGCATGTGTTGCTGCAGTTCTTGAGCGTTGTCTGACTTGCTCTTGGTGTTTCTTCAAAGTCCGCCAGTAGGAGGCCATGCCCGACCGAAGCCTGGCCTCGAGAGGTGCGGCCTCGAGGGGCGCGGCACGGCGCCGCGAGAAACCTGCGGGCGTGCGGCCGGTCTGGACGCAAGCGGCCAGGGGTCCGTCTCGGGCCCCGCGGCCCAGGGTTGGCCCACGCGTCCCTGGGGCACCCGTCGGCTTCGGCACCCCTCGATGGGAGAGACCGAGACAGAGAGACAGGAAGAGAGACAAAGAGAGAGAGAGGGATAGAGATAGAGATACAACCAAAAGAGAGAGAGAGAGAGAAAGAGGAAACAAACAGAGAGAGAGAGAGAGAAAGAAAAAACAACGAGAGAGAGAGAGAGATAGTACGAGGGAGGGAACGAGAAAGAGGACGAGAGAGAGAGGTAACGATAGAGAAGAAGACAGAGAGCCGGAGAGAGAGAGAGAGAAAGAGATCGTCCGCACGATGGGAGGGGCGAAGTGACACCGTGTCCCCAAGAGTGGTTGGCCGGTATGTTCAGACGTGTTGTCCGAACAGTTTTGACCCAGGCCCTCCCCCCGTCCCGAATCAGACGCTTACGTTACATGTGTTGTCCACTCCGTGGCCCCAAGGGTCGGGAGCCCTTCCAGCAGTTGGAGGCTAGGTATCGACGAGAGCTTCGAAGGGCTGGCGCTCGTGTTCCAAAGGGCTTCGAAGTGTGTCGTGCCATGGTCACGGAGTTCATTCTACAACATGTGGCCTGTAACGGCTTAGTGTCGCCGCCTTATTCCGCCGGCTTCACCGACCCATGCTGTTTCTTTGTGTTCACCCCACCGCCCCTTTCTTTCCCGGATGTTTTGGCATCCGGCAGGTGTTGGGAATAACGGGTACGATCCCTGTGCTTCCAGGCGGGGGAGGGGTTCCAACATCTTCACCGACCCCGAAGCCTGAACACAAGGAGGAGCAGGAGGAGCGCTCCCATCGCAGCGCGTCTACCGCACCGACTGCACCGCCCCCGCCCGCCTCTCACAGCAGCGCTTCCCGCCGCTTCGACGGCAGCGTTGGGTGTTGGTGGCCACGTTCGCGAAGACGGCACCATTGCCGCAGGGGCGGGAGGCGGGGGGTGGCCTCGCCCGCGGGCCTCGCAGGCGACGGCAGCAGCGGAGAGCCGTCTTCTCATCACCGCGGGGCTCCTGCTGTAGTGCGGCCGCCGTTGGGGCCACTGTCGCGGTGCCTTCGCGCGGCAGCACAGCATGCCGTGGTCGCTTCCCCGCGCCCCCTTCTTCGCATCTCGTTCCCCTGCTTGCTCGCGCTGCGTCCGGTTGCCGCAGGATGAAATTTTCGTCAAGTCCGGCCCCGAGTTGTTCAAGGACGGGCCTCGCGCTGCGGAGTTCGAGCTCGTCCCCTTGTTTGCCCCACCCTACTTCCCGCCCGTTTCTGAGGGCCACACGACATACGAAACTATGTGCCGCATTGGTAAATGCGATTGGCTGCTGAATTCCATTTGGATGCGGTGGTTCCCCTTTCGAACTCCGTGTTAGCTAACCGCACTACTGGCATTCCTTCTTCCTCCAGCTTCTTTCATCTCATGTATATATTCGCTGTTCCTCCTCCTCCCATCCCGCCGAATCCCTCCTCACCCACCGTCGCCCTTCCCATCCTTGGAGACTCCCTCACCTGTCACCTCCTCCTCTGGAAACCTCCATTCTCACAGGATGCCCTGTCGTACTCTATCGAAGCTGCGATCGTACAGGCAGGGTGCAGCACACCCCGCCGTCCCAGGTCCCTTCCACACGTCATTGCAAGCCGCCCTTTTCATGACTAGAGGCGCCTCCCCTGAACGACGAACTCCACAAGGGCCTGGCATTCAGGCGAGCGCCCCGTTGTGAAACAGAACTGTTTTGCGCTTTTCAATCAACTGATAGAGTATGCTATCAGGGAGGTCGGACCATGAAAGCCGCATAGGGCGGAACACCGTGGGCTGGGTTGGAACAGGCAATGCCCCGCGCCCCCATCTGTGCAACTGCCGCACTGGTGTACAGCTCTTGCAATCCGATATTTTCAGGACGACGTCATGAGCGGGGACGATTCTTACGTGTTTCCGGGGGCCTTGAGGCGAGTGTGCGCGGCGCTGTGGAGAGCCGCTGCTTGGGAAGGCTCCCGCCTCCGCCCCGGCAAGTGCCGCATGCTGTGGAGCAGAATGTCGGCAGGGCGACGGCGGGCCGCCGACTTTGAACACACGGGTACACGCCGGCCGTAGGATACAGGTGTGTGTGTGTGTGTGGATGCCCGTGCCTCGGAGACGGCGATAGGGGCGAATAGCCCAGGTTGGAGCAATACATGCATCCAGGGGCGCCGATGGTGCATGCCTTCGGTGGGGCTCCCAGGCAAATACGTGTAACGCCCGCCCATCCGCTATTCGCCCCTGTCGTCGCCGCCGAGTGCCGCAATCTATGTTGGGCGCCTTCCGACTTCAAGAGTCGAGTGGTGTTTCTTCCGTCGTCGTCCGCAGGGGTGTGGGCGAAAGCCCCGTCTATTTTCGACGCCTCGCTAATTCATGCTTCTGCCCACTTCTTCCGACCGACGTGCACCGGTTTCTCCATCCTTTTGGTTGTTGGAAGCTTCAAGCTTCAGGACCATCCGTTGTGAAGAGATCTCAGGCGAAGCGGCATGCCCACCCTGCAGTCAAGACGCTGAGATAAGGACCACTCCGGGCTCAGCAGGGGGTTGTGTTTTGTAGGTTGTTCCTTATGTTCGATTCCTGAGGCTCGCAGTGGCCAGAAAAGTTCCTTCGTTCCTTGTTCAGCGTTCCTTCCGATAGCGCACGCAATGACTGTACAAACACGTCTGGTGGCGCGATTGGGAAGGCCACTGCGGCAAGTCCTGCCACCGAGCCAGCGCAGCAGTTTCGGTGATGACAGTTCGAGGGGGTGCGGGCGGCCGTCAAGCGCGACATTTGGTGCCCCCCCCAGGCTTGGGAGAGACGTGATGAGAGTAATGCGGGTGATGATGCGTATAATGATGGTGATGATGGTAAACATGAGGACGATAATGATGATGATGCTTAGGGATGAGAGGATTGAGATGTCAATGGCGACTATGATTCTAATGACGATCACGATCACGATGACGATCACGATGCTGATGTTGCTGATGCTCATGCTGAGGCGACTGATGATGATGATCCTGGTGACAAGTCTGATGATGATGATGATGATGATGGCGAGAAGGGTGATGCTGATGATGATGGTTATGACGATGATGAGTATGTTGATGTCCATGATGCTGATGGTGATGATGATGCTGATGACGATGAGGATGTTGATGATGATCATTAGGATAATGATGGTGATGAGGATGAAGATGATGATGCCGATGATGATGGTTGTGATGACGGTAGTCATTGTGATGATGTTGATGATGTTGACGATGATGATACTGATGATACGATAATCAAGTTGATGCTGATGATTGTGGTGGTGGTGGCGATGTGCATGTCGATGATGATGATGATGATGATGATGATGATGAGTATGATGATGATGCTGATGATGATGATGATGATGATGATGTCGATGATGATGGTGTTGTTGATTATCATGGCGATGATGAATATATTGATGCTGCTGCTGCTGCTGATGATGATGATGATGATGATGATGATGATGCTGATGCTGATGCTGATGCTGATGATGATGATGATGATGATGATGATGATGAGGAGGAGGAGGAGGAGGAGGAGGAGGAGGAGGAGGTGGAGGCGGAGGATGAGGATAATTTTGCAGATGCAGGGAAGAGCGCGTGGCGCAGAGGAGTTGCTGCGGATATACCCCATGGCCGAGGCGCGCCCCGCCGCCCCCCCCCCCCGTGCGAGCCCCCCCTCGCCGCGCTGCTCGGCAGGCCAGGCGGCGGCCCTCGGCGGGAGGCCCCCTCACCGCGCCCCTGCAGCGGGGCAGGCGGAGGGTCCGCGATCAGGAATCGCTGCTCGGGGATCGGGGCGGGGGGGGGGCCGGGAACCAGGAGCGAGAGCCCGTGCCAGCCAAACAATATTCGCAGCGGTCGATCCAGCTGCTCGGGAGAGAGGGCACGCTTCTCGGTGTGACACTTCCGTGGAGCCCAAGGCTACGCCCTGCGCGTCTACACCCTGTCCCGACACCTTCTTCGCCTAGTCATTGCCTAGTCGTAGTCTCGTCGTCGTTTCCAAGGCAGCTTATACCAAGGAGAGTAGAGAGGGCATGCTACTTCGGTTGTTGAGCAGCACAGGGAACAAATTGCTCGAGCATCTCGCAAACGCCTGTCACAAGGCAAGCAGTCTGTCGCGCAAGATGTCAGCTTGGCAACTGTCGATATGCACGAGTCTCTCCAGCTAGATCGAATCCAGCAATCGTCTCCAAAGGCTACTTCGATGAACGCATGGCGGTGTCACAGCACATGCTTTAACAGTTGGGCAGTATTGCCAGCAGGTCTCGCTGCCCTTGGCGTCGCGTAACCTTTGATTTCAAGGTTAACGGACAAACGGCGTGCCGTCTTTCGTGCCGAATCATCGATCGTGCCATCATATACCGTTCTCCACTTGTCATCAGCATCACCATCATCATCATCATCATCATCATCATTCCCATAATTTTCATAGTCACTTGCATATTCATCTTCACACTCATCTTCATATTCATCGTCACCAATGTCATCATCATCATCATCACCATGATCGTCGCCCCCTCACTTAGCATAATCTTCTGCCCCATTTAAGCAAGGCCCGCTAGACCTGTTTGTCCATGCGCTCGCGTTGAGATGTGCCCACGGCGAGGGCATGCGACTGGGTTTGGGCGGTGAGGTTTGGAGAGCCGAGGAGGGAACTCTTTTGATGGGATTTGGTCTATGATAAGCTGCACACGCACATTGCACACCAGTGCCATAAGCTAAAAACATCTTGACGTGCTTGTTGGGCCGCCAGTAGTGGACATTCTTCGGCAAACTTTGTTGAGCGTGCTGCCAAGCGTGCTGCCTTGCCTGCATTTCGCGCTTTGCTTTGATAGTTGTTTCAATTTTACTGTTACGTCGACTTGGTCGCCAGGAGGATGGTGGACGTGTGTTGGATGACGGTTGGAGGGAGGATCAGCGCTGATGTTGTCCAAGCCGCAGTTTGAAGCGATGACCTTTGGTGGGCGCATTCACGCCACATGTATCACCCAGGTCGTAGCCTCAAGCGATGATCTGCGATGACACTCGTTCGCATCACCCAAGCCTCAGTTTCACGCACTAATCCTCGGTGGGGGCATCCAAGGAGGAGGAGGCGGAAGAGGAGGAGGAAGAACATAATGTGGAGGAAAGGTGGAGGAGGCACATCAGCAAGACCCCCGGCGAGAGCAGATTTTTTCATCTTCTGTTGACCGCCAGGATTCACGTTTAAATCGCATCTCTAGCGTTGATCGTCCCTGGGTGCGCAGTGACATACCGAGCGAGCCGACCGTTGCGAGCGTTTTGACGGCCACGGACTACTGCGAAGGCAATCGGGCCGAAGAGACACCTTCACATCAGTCACTGTCGGCGTCGCCAATCAGCGAACAGCTAGCGCTTTCATGTCCTTTCGCCGCTGTCGCACTTTAGTAGCAGCATCTGGCCAGCAACCGTTTCAGTATTATGAATGCCAGCAGTGCAGTTATTAGCAGCTGCCCTCGGTGAGGGCACGAACTGCCTTCGGTGAGGGCTTCTGTCAAGGGAGCGGCAGGGGTGGTGGAGCCTGAATTGGGGGAGGTGGGATTGAGCCGACTCGTGATGTGCATGCTTGATTATCCGCCTCTGGGCTCCGTCAATTTCCAGCTATCGTTGCCCAATGTTCGTACTGCACTCTTTAGCACCACATTGTTATTGTTCGCCACCCTAGCTTCTGCTAGAGCAGCATTTTGCATAAAAGCTCTTGTTGTGGTCCGACGACCGCAACGGTCTCGCTGGCCCACTCTTGCCTACCGCACCCGGTGGCCACCCGGCTGCTGTGCTGCCGGGGTCCGCCGGGATGCGCGCTTGATGCTGCGTCTCCCTTTGTGTGTTGTGCGCCGGACCCGTGGAACTCGCAGCCGCAGGAGTGGGAGAGCGGACGGAGGAGAGAGTGACAGATGTGGCTGGGAAAGGGGAGGCAGGGAGGGAGGGCGGGAGAGAGGGAGGGAGGCATGGAGGGAGGGATGGAGGGAGGGAGGGAGAATGAGGATGATGATGAGGAGGGGGAGGTGGACGAGGAGGAATAGGACCACGAGGGGTATCAGAAGAATGGAGGCTGGAGGGACGATACTCTAAAGGGGGAGGGCATAGGAAGTGGAAACAATATATTATTGAGGATGAACGCGATGAGGCGAGGCTCAAGGGTGACCTGGATCTGATGGATGGGGGCGGAATCGGCTTGCATTATTGACGCTTCGCGGATTCCACTGGGAGCGGTTCGCGGCGCCTCAGGTGTTGGGCTACGGCGTGGACAGCCCGGCGCGCCACCCCGCTCTGGCACCATCTGGGGCTGGACCATAGGTGAGCGCTGTCCTGTGAAGTGGTTCATCCTTTGGCAGGTCGCCGTTGTTCCCCCATCAGGTCCGCCCCTGCTACCACAGTTGACGCTCGCATCGATGTGCCCCCGTTCGCCGTGACGTTCAGTTGCCTGCGTTGTACGCCGGCGACTTGGTTGTCTCGCTTCCCACGGCGGGCGCCGCCCTCGAGCTCTTGCTACTGCACAAGTGGTTCATCCTTTGGCAGTGTGTCGGCCCTCCTGCTGGGTGGTCCGTGGTGCTCGACGAGTGTTTGCAGCTGGTTCCCCCAGCTTTCAGAGTCAGGCAGTTGTTGGTTGTGAACTCGGACGACACGGCCGACGTTTCCATGGATAGGTCGGTCGCTCATGCCCGAGTACTTCTGGGAGTTCATGTGAGTGAGGCGTTCCGCGGTCCCCCCCGCTTCCTTCCCCGCGTGCCCTCGCCCCCGCCGCCTTTTCCCGCGCCTTCGCCTCCTTGTCATGTTGGGCGGTGCGGCCTCACTGGCCAGTCCGTGCTGCCTCAGCGTGGCGTGTCCCGCGCCCTTACGCGCTGGTCAGAACGGTCTGAGCTGGTGCCACTGTGCGTCCTCCGCCGTCCGTCTCCTTCTGATGCCTGCGTCCCCGCTGCTGGGTCGCCTGCATCTTAATGGGGGGCCCCTAGTCCCTGGCACGTGCATTAGCTGCGTCGGCCTACGCGCCGCTGCCGCTAATTATCTCGCCCTGTGCCCCAGCCGAGACCGTCCCGTTTCCTGGGTCTCTCCTTGGAGCCGTCAATCAAAAAAAGTATCCCCACCAGCTTAGGCTGGCCCGCGCTCCGGACCCCCCTTCTCGGCGACAGCTTCACGCGTCTGCCCGCGACCAAAAAAATATCCCTACCAGCTAGATCGGCCCGCGGCCCGGACCCTTCACCACGGCGCCTGCGTTTTCGCTTGCGCCCGCGAGGAAAAAGTATCCCCACCAGTGCGTGGCCTCCTGGTCAAGTAGACCTGGCCCCAGGAGGCTCAGGAACGTGTCCGATGCCCCCCCATGGCAAGCAAGAAGACCACAAGGTCGACGAGGAGGTCGGGGGCGAAGAGGAGGAACTCGACCCACCAGGTGCCACGAACGACGACGAGGCACATGACGGCGCCAGCGGCACTCCCACGGAAAGGGACCCCTCGGTGGATTTCGGCGGCCCGCGACCGGCATCCCCAGCAAAGTCGCCGTGCGAGCACGCAGAAGCGGACGAGGGCCCCCAGCAGCGTGACAGCTCGCTCCCACCCGCGCGCAAGTACAGCCGCGAGGACAAAAGCGAGGACGCCCCAGAAGCTAGCCCAAGCCCGGGTGACGATCCTCTTGGTACCTTCCAGACGGATGCACCCCCTGCGCCCGCAGCCGCAGGTGCCGCGGCATCCGTCAGTTCCAGAGGCGATCCACCCCCACCGTGGCGATGCAACGCCTTCAGTGTTAGGCACGTGCCCGGCGCCAGGGCCGTGGACAGACACGCAGCGCCTCTTGGCTCCGACGGCAGCAGGCGTCCCTCGACCCCCCCTCGCAGCAACAGCGCGCGGAAGGCCTTCGACAGTCTCCGTGGCCCAGTTACAGGCGGAAGCATGTACCGTGAGCACCTGGGCAGCGCCAGCCTGGACCACCACGGTGAGCCCCCAGCCGATAATATCACGCGCCTCCAGAAGGTCCTGGGAGGCACGTTCAACGGGATCTGGCACGGCTACACGCAGAAGGACCCCAACCGCGCCAAAGGGATGTCCAAAAGCAACCCTACCTGAACGACGAGGCCACGTGCAAGGGTTTCCTGGACGCCTGGCGCAGATCTGGCTACGACGCCTACGAGATGGACCGGCAGCTGGAGCTCAAAGTCGACTGGCAGGCCATACGTGGAAAGGCACATCAGGGGGACCTCTGGCAAGGGCTCCCACCATTCAAAGGTGTGGATCTCTAGCTTCCAGCACCAGTTTTGGGATTCATGGGAGGGATGGTCCTGGCACGGTGCAGGGCAGTCCTGGCACGACCATGACTGGCATGACGGAGGCAAGAGAGGCAGGCGGAACAGCGACCAGGCTGACCACGACGGCAAGATATCCAAGTGGTCGCGATCTCCCTGCCACTGTCGCTAAGCGAGTCGGAAAAGACCTGACACCAGAAAGTGTGGCCGTTAGCCATCTCAGTGCCACCCCATTCCCTGGCTTCACGTTCAGTGCTTCTCTTCTCCCTTCCCTCCCTTTCATTCCAAGTGACTGTGTGGCCGTTAGCCACTTGCTTCCCTGGCGGCGCCTCCTCCCCCGCCTCTCCTCCCCGTACGACCGGTTTCGGTCACGGCACAGCGCCTGGCTC